TTAAGTCGATTTGTCTCTAATCCATGCTATGAACCACTATTTTGCCATGTATGCATGTTTTATTTTCTCAAAATAACAGTAGAGTGTCTGGCATGTAGTAGATTCTCAATTAAAGGTTTTTGCTATTGAAAAGTACAGAATAAGATAACACATAAAGGCCCTTTTAAGTTCCAAAACTGCAGAAATACTCATGTTATTTCCTTTCACCCTGACTCTGTTGGTTTTCTAATCTACTAATCTTATCCTCATCACCAGTAAACATATATTTATCTACTTAGACCCAGCTGAAATATAATTATTTCTCTAACTCCCCAGATAGAATCAGTAATTCCTTCTTTTGTGCTTATGGACCCTGTACCTACTTCTCCAACTGTACAAATTATATTATTTCTTTGCATACATGTTTCTCAGTCATCTTACCAAACTTAAAATTTGAGTGTTTCAAGAAGTGCAAATATATTTTGTTTATCTTTATATCAACTGAGTGTAGTAGAGTGCCTATGATAAGGAAAATGTGAAATTAATGTTTTCTAAATAAATGCAAAATCAGTCTTAGACCTGGATAAGAAAGGAGTACCTGCCTTGGAGCACGTAGTTTTGACAGTCCTGCTTTGGCCTTCCTCTGGCCACACTACTTTACATAGGCCACAGAGACTCATCAGGTAGGGGGAAAAGCTTACCTGAAGCCTATGCCTGCTCTTCTAGACTCTGCTCCAGGTACTGAGGCCCCTGGAGTTCTGTATTTCAACTTTCCATTTTCAAGGCCTAGATAGTCCTGTTCCCCACATAGGTCTTCCTGAGAGCAGACTGCATCTCTGATGTGAATACCTAGGTTCAGTGGAATATTAAGGGATGAATATTTGCAGGACATGTGCTCAGAACTTGGATATGTGGGCTGGGCTTAACATACATGTATTTAAGATTCTTTAAGGTATGAAATAAAGCAATGAGCAGAAAGAAAAATGGGGAGGGCTTGAGGCTGTCTCTTCTTATACTATCATGTTCCTGCATGTAATTCAGAGGCCTTCAATAATTACAAATTAAAACCTGATCTTCCAGGTCATAATTAAATCATATTTGTCAAGGTAGGAAAACATAATTCATTTAACAGTTTATGGCTCGGTTTATGACCTTTAAATACTTAGATGTAATTATGTAAGTTTGCAGTTTGTTTCTAGCCCAGCCCTACAAATGTTAAAAGGAAAGATTGAATGATCATGTAAATAAACTATAAATAAATGAAAATAAAAGTGAAAGTACTTAAAAATAATTCAATAAACATTTCCTTTGCCATGTTGCAACATTAAGGGCAGTACTTCTTTTTTTAAAAAAAATTCTTCTAAATAAAGACTACTTCTATTACAAAAATATTCATCCACTAAGATGAAGAAAAACTTATTAATACTGGAAAAGAAAAAGGTTACTAAATAAAAGGTTAATTTCCTTTCATTGAGTGAAAATAGCATTAAAAAAAATTAGGAAACTTTTAGGTCCAAAGACTACCTATCAGGCTATTTGAATCCATTCTAACACTTCACAAGAAACTGAATAGCAATTTCTATTAAAGATTATATATAATAATATTATTGTCTTATATTTTAAAGCACTTCACAACCTTTGGAGTATTTTCACATACTGGCAATTACTTAATCTCTTATGCATAATAGGTACTGACATCTGACCACATGAATCTTCACATTCAACCCATGAGATTTTATTATAATGTTGTTTTGGGAGAGGAAGTACTGGGGATTGTGAACCTAGGGGCACTTTACCACTACTTTGCAGCCCTTTAGGTTTACTTAGTTGCTTAGGGCCTCACTATGTTGCTAAGACTGGCCTCAAACTTGCAATCCTCCTGCCTCAGCCTCTAGAGTCAATGGGATTATAGACAGTGTCACTATGCCCAGCTTTATTATAACTTTTTATGCATTGTTTCAAAGTCAAGTTGTCCTATGAAGGCAACTGGGGTTGAGTTCTGAGAGGAATTCAGCAAAAAATCTGTATAATACAAAACACCTGGCTAGGGATGTAGCTCAGTGATAAAGCATAATCAACATGATTAGCATGTGTGAGCCTCTGAGTTTAATCCCCAGCATCAAAACAAAACAAAAATGAAACCAGGGAAAAGAATGTCTTCACCTTAATAAAAAACATCTACAAAAAATTCACAGCTAACATCACACTTAGTGGGGAGAAACTATTAATTTTCCTGCTAGGATCATAAACAACACAGGATGCCACCCCTCATCATTCCTTTTCAACACTGTGCTGAAGACTCAGATAATACAATCGGACAAGAAAAGGATATAGAAGGTATTCAGATTTGGAAGGAAGAAATAAAACTGTCTTTGTTTACAGATGACATGGCCACTTAGAAATTCCAAAAGAATGACTTAAAAAACACAATTAACAATAAGAAGGCTAGGGATATACATCAGTTGGTAGAGTGCTTGCCTTGCATGCACAAAGCCCTGGGGTTCAATCCCCAACACCACAAAAAAAAAAGAAATAAAACAAAAAATCCCACAATAACAGCATGGCTAACATACAAAAAGAGGAGGTGAAATTCAGAATTTAAAAAAATATATCATTTATATTAGTACCCAAAAAAGTGAAAAACTTAGGTATGAATCTATAAAATATGTATCAGATCTATATGAACAATCCTATAAAACTGATGAAAGAAATCACAAGCAAAGAAAACAAATGGAGAGATAGTTCATGATCCCTGATAGGAAGGCTAAAAATTGGTAAGATGTCAGTTCTTCCCAACTTGATCTGATGATTCATGCAATTCCAATAAAAATCCCAGCAATTTGTGGAACAGACAAACTGATTCTCAAGTTGATCTCCAGTGGCAAATGATCCAACATCATATTAAAGGAGAAGAACAAAGAGGACTGAAAGTACCTGAATTAAAGACTTACTACACAGTCACAGTAATCAAGACATTTGGCATTGCAAAAGAATGGTCAAACAGACGAATAGAACAGAAAAGATTTATAAAATAGAAACATGTAAACATAGTCAACTTATCTTTGAAATGGTACTGGAACAACCAGACATAGATATGCAAACAAACAAAATTATAGACACAGACCTTACACTTCTCACAAAAATTAACCCAAAAGGAATAGACAAATGTAATATGCAAAACTATAAAACTTCTAGAATTAATATATGAGGAAAATCTAGGTGATTTGGGTTATGGCAATGATTTTTTAAAGATAACACTTAAGGCACAATCCATGAAAAAGAATTATAAGATGGACTTCATTAAATTAAAAACCTCTGTTCTGCAAAAGATATTTATTGTCAAGAGAATGAAAAGGCATGCCACAGACTGAGAGAAAATATTTTCAAAATATCTGTCTGATAAAGAACTATTATTCAAAATATATAAAGAACTTAAGACTCAAAAATAAGAACACGAATAACACAATTTAAAAACAGGCAAGAGGGAGTTGTGGATGGTAGGGCACTGACTAGCATGTACAAAGCTCTGGGTTCAATCTCCAGTACCACATAATAAATACATACATAATAAATATATACATACAACAAAAATAAGCAAAAGGCCTTACATGTATCACCACAGATATGCAGATAGCAAATAAGCCTATGAAAAGATACTCCATGTCATAGATCCTGAGGCAGGTGAAAATTAAAACAATAATGAGATACCACTATTCTTACACCTATTAGAACAGTCAAATGCTAATGATACCAAATGCTGGCAAGGATGTGGAGCAACAGGAACTCTCTTTCATTGCTGGTGGGAATGCAAAAATGGGCCACATTGGAAGACAGTTGGGCAGTTTCTTACAAAGCTAAAACACATTCTCTCCATAAACATACTCTTTCCATATGATCTAGCAATCATACCCCCTGGAATTTGCCCAGATGAGCTGAAAACATGGCCTCAGAAAAACCTGTACATAGATGTTTATAGTTGCTTTATTCTTAACTGACAATCTTGGGAGCAACCAAGATATTCTTTAGTGGGTGAATGGATAACTGAACTATGATACAACCAGACAATGGGACATTATTTAGTGCTAAAAAGAAATGAGCTAGCAAGCCATAAAAAGGCATGGAAGAATCTTAAATACATATTACCAAGTAGAAAAACCAATCTGAAAATGTTTATATATATTATATGATTCCATTATAACATTCTGATATAACATTTTGGAAAAGGCAAAACCACAGAGACAGTAGAGAGATAAGTTGTTGCTAGGATATAAGAGAAAGACAGGGAGAAACATGCAGAGCACAGAGGAAACTACTCTGTATGATGTATATGGACATAATCATTATATATTTATCAAATATAAAACCAAGAGTGAGGGCTGGGGATGTGGCTCAAGCGGTAGCGCGCTCGCCTGGCATGCGTGCGGCCCAGGTTCGATCCTCAGCACCACATACAAACAAAGATGTTGTGTCCACCGAGAACTAAAATAAATAAATATTAAAATTCTCTCTCTCTCATCTCTCTCTCTTAAAAAACAAAAACAAAAAAAAAAACCAAGAGTGAATCCTAATGCTAATATGGACTTTAGGTAATAATAATAATGTGTTGATAAAGGTTCATCAATTGTAACAAACTGTACTAGTGCAGAAAGATGTGCATGTGTGGAAAAAGAAGGTATATGGGAACTCTATTTCTGTTCAATTTTGCTATGAGCTAAAATTGCTCTAAAAAAATAAATCTATCAAAAACTGCAAAGCTGTTAACCATCTTAGGTACTCTACCCAGATCAAAAATCGTCGTTTTCCAGTATGAATCGGAAGGCAATATCATTGCCTAATTTTTTCTATTTTTTCCTTTGGGGTATGTTGCTGGGGATTGAATTTAGGACCTTGTATATGCTAAACACATGCTCCACCACTGAGGTACATCGCTAATCTATACCTGATTATTTCTAAAATAGTCTCCAAAAACATCTTAACAGGTAATTTAAGACTCAGAATGAGGATCAAATCAAAGAACTTACTTTTCAATTTTCTTCTTTTGTTCCTTTTGTCTTTTTTGTTCTTTTACTTGTTCTCTCTCAATATCCATGAAAAGTCTTCTGTGTCTCAGGTACTGCTTTTGACGCTAAAAAGAAGTTGATAGCAACACTAATTTCGTTTGCCACTAGTACAATCACTTGTTAATAGTACTTAATGAAATGATTATATTTAATATAAGCCATATTTACGAAATATTTAATGAAATGATTACATTTAATATATTTAATAGATAGCATATTTACCCTATATTCCCAAGTACTAAGTACCATAAAAGCAGGGCAACAGAAAGAAAGTAGGAGTTATTTTGTAACAGAACAAGGTTCCTTTAACCTTTCAAAATTAGAATCACATCACAAAAACATACTCTAAGCCCAGCGTGACATGGCAGAGAGGGGAATACAAAGGTTGAAGTACATCAGAGTATCACACTCATAAATTGAACAAGTTTAGTAAAGTAAGTGCTACTATACTGTGTGGATCTGTTCATAGCTCTGAATTTATATATTCTCTTTTAAGGACACAGGCTACTCAAATGGCTAAAGCATATCTATGCATATGGTAGGGCAGTGTACAACTTTTTGGTATCAACTATTAAATGTCTAAATAGGCTGGACGTGATGGAGCATGCCTATAATCCCAGCTACTTGGAAGGCTGAGGCAGGAAGATTAAAATTTTGAGGCTATCCTAAGCAACTTAGCAAGATTGTGTCTTGAAATAAAATAAAATGGGCAATAGATGTAGCTCAGAAAGAGACTGCTTCTGGGGTCAATCCTCAGTACCAAAGGGAAGGAAAAAAAAGAAAAAGAAAGAAAGAAAAAATAAAGTTTAAATAGCAATTCTCAAATTGAAGATGCATCAGAATCACCAATGGTATTTTTTTAAAAAGTTTTTTTTAGTTGTAGATAGATTCAATATCTTTATTTTATTTATTTTTATTTATGCAGTGCTGAAGATAGAACCCAGTGTCTCATGCGTGTGAGGCAAGCATTCTACTACTGAGCCACAACCCCAGCCCCACCATTGGTATTTTTTTAAAACACATTAAAAACAAAACCAACAAACAAAAAAACCCCTACCTTTTCAGATACTGATTCTGCATACTACATATCTACATTCTGTATATCTACAAATCCAGGCATATGATTTTTTTTTTTGGGGGGGGGGGGCTACTGGAGATTGAACCTAGGGGTGCTTTACCACTGAGATACATTCCCAGCCCTTTTTATTTTTGAAACAGAGTCTCACTAAGCTGCTGAGGCTGACCTTGAACTTGCAATCCTCCCGCTCAGCCTCCCAAGCTGCTGGGGGTCACAGGCACGTGCCACCATGCCCAACAAGCATAAGGATTTGGAAAAAAGGTCCATATCTGGTTCTGGTACAAGGATAGGGTTAAGAACAATTAGTTTAAAATAACTTTAAGTTGAAAGGGGAAAAAAAAAAGGAAATCATAAATTTAAAATGTTCATTTAAATAAGTTATAGTGGCAAATATATAATAGCTGGAGAAATTTACTTGGATCAGCTCTTTGACTTCACATCAATGCACCCTAAATCTTAGGAACTTGAAAGACAAGCTTGACATACTCAAGCAACTTCTTTGGAATTGTAGTATTAGCTCTATTAAGACACAGAAACTGTTTCTAATTTCATATATAGCATCACTGAAGAAATAATAATGTTCAAAAGCAACATCGTTACATACCTCTTTCTTGTCTTCCTCTTTATCTACTCCAGACTGAAATGCCAATGGAGTTTGGAATTCATTGTTTAGTCCTGACTGATAATCATTATAAACCTGTTAAAGAATCCAGTCACACAGTGACAAAATTACCAAAAGCTAGCCATATGAACCCTTTTGATATTTTTATCTATTGATTCTTTTCTCCTCAAACTTCCAGCTATAAAAGAGTAAAAGCAAAAAGGATGGAAAGAAAATAGTTTCAGAATGAATTAACCAACCAACCAAAAAATGAAAAAGGGAAAAATAATAGACAAAAGGCTTCAGATAAAAATCATGAATGAACAAATAACAAATCAAAAGGTTCAGAATAGAAGTTCTTTAAAAGTGGTCATTTGAAATCATACTATCATATTATGCTTGGACTTGAATCCAGGTATAAAGCCAGATCCCTTAGTATCTCAAATGTATAATCACATTCAATCTACATAACTCTCTTGATGAGCATGAATTCAGAATAAGAGTCTGGAAACATATCAATTGATTGGGATGGCATGGAGAACACTGGGCCTAATTTCCCATCATATTTACTAGCCAAACTTTATAAGTTAGTATACTTACTTGGACATTATATGTGCCAAACTGTGATCTCTAACCTTTTAGAAATAATGTTTAAAATTTTTATCTCTTTAGTTTAAAAGTTATTTATCTTTCAGCAAGGTTAGAGAGTAAAAGATCAATATGTAAAAATCTATTGAATTTCTATATTTGTGATGAATAATCTGGAAACAAAATTAAGGACACATTCTTGACGATACCATCAAAAAGACTACAACAGGTATAAATTTAACAAGAAAATATAAATTTATACTCTGAAACATACAAAACATTGTTGAAAGAAATTAAAAAGACACCTAAATAAATGGAAAGACATTCCACATTCATAGACTAGAAGACTTAATATTTCTAAGATGGCAGTACTCCCTAAACTGATCAACAAATCTAACATAATTTCCACCAAAATTTCAGCTGCCTTCTTTGCAGAAATTCACAAGGTGATCCTAAAATTTCTATGAAAATGTGAAGGACCCAGAACAGCTGAGACACTCTTGAAAAAGAACAAAACTGGAGGACTCTTCCCAACATCTCATTACAAAGCCACAGTAATCACGACAGATTTCACTGGCATAAGGATAGGCATAGATCAATGGAATACAACTGACAGTTCAAAAGTAAACACGTATATTTACAATCAACTGATTTTTTACAATCTGCCAAGACAATTCAATGGGAACAACAGTCTTTTAAACAAATGTGTTTCAATTATGATGCTGAAACACCAGTTATTCAAATGCCAAAAAATAAAGTTGAACCATTTCCTTATACCACATACAAAAATTAACTCGAAGAATCATAGACCTAAATGTAACACCTAAAACAATTCTTAGAAAAACAAAGAGAAGTACATATTCAAGACCCCAGGTTAAGTTATGGTTTCTTAGATATGAAACCAAAAGTATAAGCTGCCAAAGTAAATAACTTAGACCTAAAAAAGACTTGTGCTATAAAGAAACCATTTTAAAAAGTGAAAAAACAATCTACAAAGTGGTGGAATTTATTGCAAAACTTGAATCTAAAAAGGAAACATATTAAGAACTCTCACTGGGCACAGTGGCACACGCCTGTAATCCCAGCAACTCAGGAGGCTGAGGCAGGAAGATCACGAATTCAAAGCCAGCCTCAGCAATGGTGAGATGCTAAGCAAGTCAGTGAGGCCCTGTCTCTAAATAAAATATAAAATAGGGTTGGGGATGTGGCTCAGTGGTCGAGTGCCCCCGAGTTCAATCTCCAATACCAAAAATAAAATAACTCTCATGAGTGTAGAATAAAATAAAGAGATGGAGGGGCAGGAAAGGGGAGGCACTGGGAAATGAAACCAACCAAATTATGCATGTATAAATATATCACAATGAATCCCACTTTTATGTATAATTATAATATGCCAATTAAAAAATAAGCAGGAAAGAGATGAATAGAGGAAGAGGAATTGAGGGAGGGAAGTGGGAAGGAAAGGGAAGGTACTGGGGATAGAAATGGAGAAAACTAGCCCCACTATTATGTATAGTTATAATGCATTAATAAAACATTTTTTTAAAACTCTCATATCTCAATGATCAGAACTCAAATAACCCAATTACAAAATGGATATAGTATCTAATAACAGTACTCCAAAAATATACAAATGGTCAATAAGTACATGAAAAGGTGCTCAATGCCATTAGCCATCAGGAAGATGTAAACTGAAAGGACAGTGAGACAGCACTTCACACCCATATGAATGAAAAATAATTTAAAATGAAGACATGGAGGGCTGGGGTTGTGGCTGAGTGGTAGAGTGCTCACCTAATATGTGCAAGGTACTGGGTTTGATCCTCAGTACCACAAAAAAATAAAATAAATAAAGGTACTGTGTCTAACAAATTTATATATATATATAAAAAATTTGTTTTTAAATGAAGATATGGGGACTGGGGGTATAAATCAGTGGTAGAGTGTTTGCCTGGCAGCAAGACTTCCTGAGTTCAGTTCTCTGCAACCAGAAACAAAAAAATAAACAAGTGCTGGTGAGGATGCAGAAAAATGTGAACCTTCATTCACTGCTAATGGAAACAAAAAATGTTGCAGCCACTTTGGAAATAAGTTTGCTAGTTCTTCAAAAGGTTAATAAACACAGAATTATCATTTGCCCCAGCAATTCTACTATTAAGTATATACTCAAGAAAAATGAAACATAAGTCCATAGAAAAACAGGTATGCAAATGGTTCACAGCAACATTATTCATAAGAGAAACAAGCCAAATGTAATCAATGAATGAATAGTAAAATGTGCTATATAAACAAAATGGAATTATTCAGCAATTAATAGGAATAAAGTCTTGCTATGTGCTATAACATCAATGAAATTTGAAAACATTATGTTAAGTGAAAGAAGTCAGTCACGAAAGACCAAATATTACATGTTCTCATTTAAATGGAATGACCAGATTAAGGAAATTTATGGAAAAAGAATAGCTTAGTAGTTGTGAGGGCTAGAGGTGGGGCTAAGGGAAACTTGTAATAGCTGATACTGGGAATTGGACTCTCTGGAGATGATAAAAACTCAAGTTACACATCTGTAGTCCCAGCAACTCAGGAGAATGAGGCAGGAGGACTGCAAGTTGGAAATCAGCCTCAGCAACTTATTAGGACCCTCTCTCAAAATAAAAAAAAAATTTAAAAACCTGGGGATATAGCTCAGGGGTAAAGCACTCCTAGTTCAATGCCCACTATCAAAAAAATAAAATAAAATATAAAATGTTCCCAAATTGATTGTGGAGATATTTACATAACCCTGTGGATATACTAAAAACACTGAATTGTATGCTTTAAATAGGTCAGTTGTATGGTTTATGAATTGCAGTTAATCATCATTTTTTGCATATTTGCTAACTTTTCCTATTCATTAAAATTTATATGTAATACCAGTACTCAGAATGCTAGGCAAACCTTTGCAGACATGAATAGCCAGGAAAATCTGAGTAATCCAACAAGCATGTTGACAACTGAAGTCCAATAGGAGATTCTGTTTTCATATTGTAAAAAAAAAAAAATGTGTCTTTTCTTGTTTGTTTTTGCTAGGGATCAAACCTGGGGCTTTGCCCATGCTAGGTAAGCACTCTACCACTGAGCTACATGCCCAGGCCACAAGTATCCTTTTTTACATTCTACTTAGTGCCATGTTTTTTGTATTTTTTGCTTTTTATGGGTGATTCCACTGTTTTAAGAAGGTCCCAGAAATAGTGCTGACATACTAATATTCCTAAGCACAAAAGGCTGTGATGTAGTTTAAATTCACAGCACCCAACAAAGGCTCTGATGTGCTTACAGAGAAAATGTGTGTTAGATAAGCTGCATTCAGGCATGAGTAATAGTGCTACTAGCTGAGATCAAACTTAATGGATCAACGGTATGTATTAAGTAAGGTGTCTTTAAACAGAGATATCTGTAAAACAAAGTTATGTATATTAATCATTTGACAAAAAGGTTAGGGGTTGATAAAAATGTGCCTATAAAAGCCCTAAAGATTTCACAAAAGAACTGTTAGAAGTAGTACACAAGTTCAGCAAAGTTGCAGGATTACAAAATCACCATAAAAATCAGTTATATTGGTGTTAGGGATCTAGCTCAGTGTAAAGTGAGACCCTATATTTGATACCCAGTACCACAAAAATTTAAAAAATTAGTTGTTTCTATACAGTAACAATGAAGGGTCCAAAACAAAATTTAAGAAGATAAGAACATTTATAATAGTACTAAAGAGAAAAAAAAATTTAGGAAATTAATCTCTGGGACATTCTGATATTAGGAGGTTAAGCAGAGAAGGAGGAGCTCAAGAGAAACAGAACAGACTCCAGAGTAAGGTAGAAGAGGACCAGGAAGAGAAGGAGTCAAGAAGCCAAGGTAAGGACCCAAGCATCTACATTATCTATAATCTCTCCTGGTATTAATTATGTACACTTGTCCATTTAGAGTTCTCTCTACTGGACTGTTCTCATCATTCATTCATTCATTCAGCTAATATTTTTTTCAATCCCCACCAACAGACCAAGTAAGGTAAGATGTTCTAGGGCTGGGAACACAGAAATAATGATCATTTAACTCTGTGCCACACAGTCAGTAAATAATTCAATTCTCACAATAGCCCTTCATATTTACAGTGTTGTTACAAGCACTCAGTAGATGAAATAAAGGCATGGGAGGTTAAATAATTTTTACAAAGAAAGGGATGGAGCCTGGATTTGGACCTGGCCCTGAGTCTCAGACCATCAACATTTTGCTATAAACAAAACAAAAGCTTTGCCCTTTTGTCAGCCCATTCATGAGTCCTCCAAGCAGAAGTCAGTTCTCTAAAGAAAAAAAATAAAATAACAGCAAATCTCTACTCAGGGGGCTGAGGCAGGAGGAGCACTAGTTTGAGGCCAGCCTCTGCAAGACATTAGCAAGACCCTGTCTCTAAAACTGAAAAGGGCTAGAAGTGTAGCTCAGTGACAGAGCACTCCATGTTCTCCCCAAAAGACTTTT